CACCGAAATCTTGTGTTTTGGTATTCACGTTGTGGCTAAAACATACCTGATTCTATTGTTACCACGAGCACAACGCCCAAATTTTTCGAAATGATCCGGAACAACTATGGATTATAAACTGTTTAAGTGCTGAGCACCTTGCACCAATCCGATCTGGATATCGTAAAATTTCTTGCAATGATAACGGAGGTTTTTGATAACTGTCACTCCAAAAATGCTTTCACGGAGGTCATATTTTTCACATTTGAAGGGTAATATATCTTCTCAGTTGAGGTTGGTAGTGGAAAACGGTTCGACCTCGTTAAATACTATCTTTTCAAATTTATGGAGTTTCTGGAGGGGTCAATTCAAAGGTAAAATTCATTTAATTACCGCCCAGCAGTTGGGAATTAACCTCAGACTTTTCCCTGTGATAGAAACAGGGATAAGTTAGCTGCCTCAGCAGTGGTCGTCAGTGGTTAGAGTGCGCCATGTATTTGAGGAAACTGGCCAATTCCGTTGGATAGACAAATTGGTGGACAACATACTAAAGTGACTGCCTCCAAAGCTCAAATTTGAAGACAGCAAAGTGGAATATGACCCAAATTAAGGTACAATACTTGTATGAAGTCTGAGAGTCATTTAAATCAATAAATTCTAGTTACGTTTTTCACTGTGGTTTTGTTGTTTTACAACTGGTGCACCAGAAATCGCCATCAAAATCGAAAAATCATACACTTATACTCCACCAACAGATTTTTTTATTACACATCTAAGTGTGATGAAAAGCAGACGGGGCGAGCGCGAAAGTCATAAGGACCTGCTGCTCAGTGGTGAAAACCGACCCCGAGACTTGGAGTGGCAAGCCACATTAGGCCCCGATAGGTTAGGCGTGGTATTGAACCGGACGACAGCAGAGCTGCTTACCGCGAAAGTTTTGTGGTGGTGGCAGGGTTCGAACCTCGGACCATAGGGTTCAAAGCACACCGGTGACAGCGACTAAACCACTATGCCCCCGCAGTCATAGGTGGATATCATCACGAACATGTCACGTCTGACGTGGAACGATATCATATTCAATCGCGTGAGTGGGGCTGGAAAAACTAAGCGTTGAGAGGAACAAATGTGATGGAAGTCATGGTCGATGGATTCGCACTTAAGCTGCTCACACAACTGCACCAAGGTGTCCAACGCAGCTGTAAAGAATGTCGGCTTGCTTAAGCGGGTCTTCGGCCGGCTTGAGTCAGCTTTATTCCCCCGCCTACTATCAGCATACATTCGACCACTCACAGAATACGCTATCCAGGCCTGGAATCCATGGCTACAGCGTGATTGCAAGATGCTGGAGCGTCCACAAAGGATGGCCAAAAAAATGGTCAGAGGGTTGAATCGGTTTTTTTCTACGTAGAGAGACTGAAGTCACTGGGATTATATTCCAATCATTACCGGCGCATCAGAGGAGATATGATAATGGTGTACCAAATAATGCAAAACCCAAGCCACCCGTG